CATTAGTAGATATAACTGTCTTCTATCAAGGACCTTGACAAACTCGTCTTTATGATGCTTCTAACTCTTTCGACCGAGCTTTGTACAAACAACTGACCAAGACGGCTGGTGCCTTTTTCCTGGAACGTAGAGAATAATTGACGCGAAGAGGCCATCCTCATCCTACTACTCTGGACCGGTTTCCCGTATGTTGGATGGGGAAGGGTCTAGGAGAAGAATAACAATCTTGTCCGATTGCCAGGCTCCGATGAAGGCACTAATTGCCTGCAAGATTACTACGAGCCTTGTATTGCAATGCAGGGAAGCTCTGGATAGTTTAGCAGCAAGGATCCGGTATCTTTAGTGTAGGTACCGAAGCACGCTTCAGTATCAGTAGGCAAGCTTGTTGGTCCAAAGAGTCAAGAGGACAGTGGAGAAGTGGATTGCTAGACAACGCTCTCTGAAAGGGACAAACATCTTCGGACATCTCGGTCAGGCACGGGAGCTCATCTAGGGGTTGACGTCTTTGGATAGAGCCAACCTTAGGTCGTTGATGGGACTGTCGTCTGACCATAACACGATGAGGCATCACCTGCATGTGATGGAGGTGGCTGAGGATCTCATGTTTGAGCGCTGCGTGATAGAGGAAGAGTCCTCTGTGAGGCTCTGAGTTACTACAAGCAGACTATACTGATGTCCAACACTTTGGATCCCCAGAACGTTGAGGATCTGTACTCATCTTTGCTAGAAGGGTGAAGCTTGAGGCTCAGAGAAGGTAGTGTTGCCTAAGAGCCCGTTTATGTGGCCTATGCATCGGCTACTCATGGTATGTCTCTAATTCCTTTATTCATTCATTCAACCTGGACCAGCTTAGACATTGTATGAACAAGAACTCTTTAACTCCTATATGGCGGTCACGAACATATACTATTCAGGCACTGCCTTCGTCTTTTTTGGTATTAAAAACTAGCGAAAAAGAAACTGCAAGGGAGGCGATAGTTCTTGTTAGTCTATATATAGGGCATAAGTTAAGGCTCAACGTAAAGTGAAACTAGCCAAATTAAACTAGGATATGAGCCTGACAAATTACGGAAACGGCTCAAGCGACATATACATTATTAGGAACGAGTACTATTTCCACTCCCTTCATATTTGTCTGAGGAAGAATGTCTAGCATTTATCTGAATTATAATACCTTCACAAGTGGCTACTAATAGCTGCAGTCACGAAGATGGCAGACGAAAATGCTGGTTATTTGTTTGGAGATCTCTATGAAGAACAAAGAACACAGTTATATGGAGCTTCTAGAAAATAGAGAGAAAGGATTGGAAATAATTATAGTATATTATCTTCTTAGCTCTTTGCTATACAATTTTGTTCTTATTAGTTGGTATCTTGATGTATTGTCGTCGAGGATGTAGTCCACTCAGATTTGAGCATTACGTCGTCTCAACGAGTGGAAGGTGGAAAGTTTTTGGCCCAACAATGAATGACTGCAATTTTCAATTGAAAAATGATCGTTTTTTAATACAATTTTATTAACTTGACCTGTATCTATCTTACGTAACGAGCTATTTTAACCTAATTTTCACCAATTCCAAAAAGTCTGAATAGCTGCAAATTTGCACAGGGGTCAAGAGATGATAATACAATAATTTAAATATTTGAATTTGAAAATTTTTCAAAAAATTTTATTGAAAAGATGTATCTGAATAATTGGGAAGTAGTTGGAAAATTTAGACATTTGTCAAATGATCTACAGATTTGGAGATTTTAAAAATGTTTTGGAAATTTTGAAAACATTCAGAAAATCTTGAAATGTAAAGAAATTTGGAAGTAAGACTTATTGTCATATACTACTTAGTTAAAATCGAAGCTCTTGACCATAAATTCTTTTGTTGTCGCTTTGAGACAACAAATTGCCAATTTGTACAGGTGTCAAGCGCCGTTGGCAATACAATAATTTTGGAAAACATTCGAATTTAACACATTTTCAATAATCTGAATTTTGAAATTTGGAAAGAAAACGTATTTTCAAATTTGGGAAATGACTGAAAAGTTTTGTTAAATTTGTAAAATAATTTGAAGATTTGGGGATTTTGAAAAACAATTGGAAACTCTGTATGTTATGTATGTTACATATTGGAATCCTTTAACCTAATTTTCAACAATTCCAAAAAGTGTGAATAACTTGCAAATTTGCACATGCGTCAAGCGCCAGTCGCAATATAATAATTTTTAAAAAATTACAAATTTGAAAATTGTTTAAAGACTTAAATTTGTAATTTGAAAATTGGGGCAATACAAGGTTATAAAAATTTCTGAATTTGAAGAAACTTGAAAGTAAATTTTAGATCGGGGTACTGATTATAAGCACTTTTATTGTCGTATTAAGACTAAAAATCAACTTGAAATTTGACAGATAAATGTCATTATTGTTACCAGCCATCTTTAGAGCGAGAGGGTACTCGAAGAAGAACTTTCGCAGCATTAGGCTGGCAAATTTATCCATAGACCATTTGCAGCCTATACAAAGACTTTTAGGGCATAGCCCAATGCTTTTTCTTAGATCCATAGGCGGGCCAAAGCATAGATTTCAGAAAGAGACAACGAATTTACTCTTTTTGTCCCAACGCATATTTTTCTATTCGGAAAGTATTTTATTAATTGTTAATGGTCTGCCTACTTTAGGTAGTCTGAGGCATTCGGTGCAAAGGTCGTACCCAGTTTCGGGTGCAATTTTTTGCCATCATCTTTCTTATCAAACGATACAGGGGCCTTTTAGTGATGCGTTTTTCCTTCAGGATATGATTCCTCAGATAATTTTTTGAAGAAAATTGTTCGAAATTTGGATAGGATAGCGAATATATAAAATGAAAACTTTTAATTATACTAAGTGACATATAAATCCGAACACCCAGTTTAAATGGTTTTATTTTAATAAAAGTCGGTGAATATATTTATCTTACTGTAAATAACAAGTGAAAAAATTTTCAGCCTTATCAGTTGGACATTCCGGTTTTTATACTGCTTTTTTTTAATTCACTAACGCTCTAAAAATGAATATTTCAGCCGCAGTAAAGAATCAACGTTGGCGGATTTTGGTTCTTACAATCCTTTACGATCGGTTACGATGCCTAGAGTACGGAGACCTGTACGATTTTGTCAACTTAGTGAGTTTGATAGGGGCCGTATAGTGGGACTTCGGGAAGCTGGACTTTCTTTTCGGGCAATTGCAGTTAGAGTGCAAAGAAGTGTAGACACTGTGGTTAGGTGTTGTCAGGCATGGCTTCGAGAAGGCCGTACGCAAAGAGCAAGGGGCACTGGACGCCGCCGTAGAACAACAGACCGTGAAGATCGCCGCCTAAGATTATTGGCCTTAAGGGACCGTTTCTCCACTACCAGGTCCATTGCAAATGAATGGTTTGCAGAACACGGAAGACCTATTGGCATGCGAAGTGTTTACCGACGAATGAGACGTTTTGGCTTGTTTTCATACCGGCCACGCTGGGTCCTCCCTTTAACTCGAGAACACCGACGTAATCGCCTTCAGTGGTGCAGACAACGGTCACTCTGGGATCAGGCATGCACGATGGTCGTGCCAGGGTTAGAAGGCGACGTGGTGAAAGAGGAATCCACAGTTTTTTGTTGAAAGACATGTTCATCACACTGTTGGAGTTATGGTTTGGGGTGCTATAGCTTATGGTTTCAGGTCACCTTTAATCTTCATCAGAGGTAACATGAACGCGCAGCGTTATATCCACGAAGTTCTAGAACCCCATCTTTTACCCTATCTTGACACCCTGGCAGATCCAACTTTCCAACAAGATAATGCCCGACCACATGTTGCAAGAGTCACAATAGACTTCCTACAACATAATGATGTCACATTGTTACCATGGCCACCAAGATCTCCCGACTTATCCCCAATTGAGCACGTGTGGGATGTGATGGGTAGGAGATTTCTCAATTTGCAACGTCCTCCTCAGACTCTAGAAGCACTTCGAAAGGAGTTGGTGGTTGCCTGGAATGAGATACCACAGGAGGACATTGACCGCCTGATCAGAAGCATGCCTAGGCGCGTTGGAGAATGCGTAGCGCATCAGTGTGCATCCACACATTATTAAAGGCCAAAGGGCTTTAAAGCAGTGCAATCATTTTGAAACTTTTATCATTTACTTATTATGCTTCATTAAGTACTTGTACAAAATTTTATTAAAATAAAACCATTTAAACTGGGTGTTCGGATATATATGTCACTTAGTATAACTGGATTCGGGTTCTAAAGAAAAACAGTTTCCTGTTGTAGAGCTGACTTCATTTTCTGCTTCAGATCTCTAGAAAAAAAAATTTCAAAACACTAATTTCACATATACATTAATTCATAGTCTAAACAAAAAACTCGATGTGAAAGGTACTTATTTTGGCTAAGACATTATATAAAATGGGCAATTTATACACATCCCCGAATTTGATTAACAAGATAGCAATTCCCTACATTTACACACAAGAAAAACAAAGACAAAATGATTAGATGAATATTTTAGGAAAACGAATAAAAAGTTCTTTCCGTGATCGATTCTTACAAAGAAAAATGAAAACATGGCTAACTCACCCTCTTTTACTTCGAAAATGTGGTGGCAAAGAGGGTCATTAGAAGAATCATAAAATAAAAACTATTTCTTGTAGCTAGATATTTAAGCCATCCCTAGCAAATGTCCATAAAAACTTTTCTTCGTATAGTTGTTTGAGGAGCTATTCTCTGAGGTATTAGCACGTCACCGAGGAACACCCTGTAGAATTAGTTTGTCGTCTTATGTGGTACCTCGTTTGGGCGTGGGTCAGCACCTGGTCGAAAGTGAATCTTGCTTGCTGACATCCTTGAAGCGGGCTATCAAACAAAGAACATTTTGACCGATATATCGTTACACAACGAACTGTAACAACTGGTTTAATTATTTGGGTCTTGGTCTCTTCGAGCAAAACCTGCCCTACGCCCGGCGTTTTGCCAACTATAAAAGTTAACGATTATGCGAAATTTGGTATCAGTTAACGAACAGTTGCCGATCAAAAATCACATTTTGTTTACCTGCATCACCGTTACTACCCCTACTAGAAACAATGGCATTCAAGGTAAGTTCTTTGTAATTCACTCATTTGCAAAGAAGTGTGTATTACCGAAAATAATTTGTCCCTTTTTTCAATTGTCTTTCCACTGCTTAGTTTTCACTGCCATTTTATTATTCTTAAGTTAAGTTTTACGCATATATTATTATTATTATTATGTTTTTATTGAGCATTGTTATATACAATGCAGAAATCTGCAACAGGGCGAAGTCTAGCCTAAGCTACTCTACTTAACCCTAAATAAAAGCTAACAAGGAAGAAAGCCACAGATAATACATAAAATGCAATCATCAGAAGTGATCAAATATAAAATAGCATAGAAAATATGAGATAATTTGAATGAAAATAATCAAAAGCCTAAGACACAAAACCGCAAAGCGAAGAGTATATAATCAAAAACTATTGAACTATCCATTACATTGACTATTGTAATAAAATTGCCTTACCAGGACTTTAAACATCGGTACAGAACTATGTATATATGTATATATACGTATACAAACGCTGACATGTTCCATTACTAAACTTATGCAAACCGCCATTTTGTAGTTCAATTATGAACAGAATAGAAAGGATTTATTTAGTTTTAAGCTACTTCAAACAATAATAAATATTATTTACAAAAATATGTTAAATTTACAAAAAGGTCACATCAAACCAAAACAGTCTCTCCGAAGTCTCTTTTTGAAAAGTTACTAAAGTTTTTACATTAATAGGCGGATCGTTGTACTTTTTTAGACCTTCAACAAACATTGAATTTTCTAAACCTTTAAATCTAAATCTTTGTATATGCAAATTTTCGTTTCGTCTAATGTCGTAACCTTGCATTTCTCATATTTTCTGTAGAAACTGTTCAAGATAAGGTAGATCCTGATTACTGATAATTTTATATAAAAGAATTAAATTTGCCTCTTGAATAATTTGGTGTATGTTTAAAAAATTTAATGCCTTTAGCCTATCCTGTATATGGGTATACCTGCTACAATTTAACAAAATCCGCATACGTTTATTTAATAGAATTTGCAATCCTTCCTTTTGCTCATTTGTACATGTAATCAAAAGTGAGTCACAATAAGTAAAATGAGGAAAAATTATTGTATTGTAGACTACCGTTTTGCAGCAGGGACTTAGATTCTCACAAATTCTGCGAAAATACCCTATCTTTTTGCCTAATTTTCGACACATATAGTCTACATGTTTGTTGAAAGTTAGTTGCTGATATATTATAATATCTGAATACTTAACACTATCTACAAAATCAAGTTACCTCATATCATTTGTGGAATGGTACTCACTACTTCCTATTATAAATGTAAAGTATAAATATAAAATATAAGCGCTTAAGAAATGCGAGTCTAGGATTCATTTTAAGAAAAAAAAACTTCATTCGAAAGTATGTTTTAACTCCCATAAATATGAGTTACAGGGTAATGGATGTTTCACGAAGTTATCTTTTTTTTATAATTCTCATGATACCATGACTTGGTATGCGGCATTTATGCATCGAAAAGCATGTTTTGAAGTACGACAATCTTTTTGTTTCATTTCGTGCTGTTCGAGTGGGATTTGACCCTATTAGTTTTGAAGAAAAATACGGTGCGATACTGCTTTTTGAAAATTTGGTCTCTTTATTTTCTTTGCAGTGACCGGGCTTTGTTAAAAAATATGAGAAACATCATATCGCTACTATAGTTGCTTCTTATTTCCTTTTTTCTACATATTTCTTATTTTTTGCGGGTACAAAGAAAGTCAAATAACCTAAGGATCAGATAAATAACAGCTAAAATTAGTTCACATTTCAAGTTGGCCCCAACAATGAAACTTTTCCATTTGAATAACATTTGCATGTACATTGCTCTTTTTATTTTAGTATTTGACTGTGGTCGAAGAGTCTGTTTATAGGCTTTGATCTTACACGCAGTAGTGAATGAGAATTATAGAAACAAGTTTTGCCACAACAGAAATCAACGGCGTACTATATTTTTCTTTGAAACTATTTTGCTCAAATCCAAGACAATGTCACCCGGTATCTAGAAATGTGACGTTTATATAAAGTTTTACTTAAAAACGAACCGAAGAATTGCCCCTATAGATTTTCCATTCTACTATTGAAACACCTCATATATTGTAGTGACATAAAAACTATAGGAAGGCACAACATCAAAAATGACTCAAGGAAATGTAGTGACATGGCAATCAAAACAATCCTTTGAAATGTCAGCAAAAATTGTTGTAGTTATATCTAATTCAAAGTAGAATAGAATAGAATCACTAGTTTTTGAGCCAGCTGTCAAACTGTAAAGGATATGTATAAAATTGATTCACAAGTAATATACAGGGCATCCTAAAAGATAAGACTCTCCTTTCAGAGAGCGAAACAACATCGAAAACGTAAAAAAGAAACTCATTTTGGTAAGGAATTTCAAGTACTGCCCCGCCACGTGTTTTGATTGTAAACGCTGCCAGAAGTTGTCACTGTTCGATTGAAAAACACGAGCTTGTTCACCTTTGTAACAATTGGGGCTGCCTAGGTCTTCAGCTGTATTCTACCAGACGGCTATTGCACACTATAAACAAACATATGCAGCTCTGATGGGAAGACACTCGCGGAGTATCAATAGGATGTTAAATATGCTCATATCAAACCGATGTCTACGTTACTGCTCTACGGATGTGTCAATTTCTGTTTTTCAAAGGAGATACTGACTCGTATAGTCTTAGGACAACATCATACATTGTAGAAGGAGATTGTGGGAGGGGAAGGAGACAAGGTCATACTGGCTCATCTATAGCTTTTTGGAACCTAATATCTCGGTTAGCTTAAAAAGAACATACTTACTGTTGCCTTATCTATACGTTCTGTAGAGGAGAGACCCAACTTTGAGTCCATCATGTATATTCACACACTATCAGTGTCTGATGTTTCGTAAAAAATAATATACGCACTTTCTTTCAGCTCGTAGTCCTCTTGGCCACCCTCGCCTACGCCAATGCCGGCTTCCTGTACTCCTCTCAACCCACAGCCTACTCTGTGGCCACCCCCGGCGCACTGACGTCACAGTCCTCCAACATCTACCGCAGCTTCGGCAACCTTGGACAGATCTCCACCTACTCCAAGACCGTCGACACACCTTACTCCAGCGTGTCCAAGTCCGACGTTAGGGTGTCCAACCCCGGTGTCAGGTTCGCCGCCCCTGCTTTGGCCACGTACGCTGCCCCTGCAGTCGCCGCCCACGCCACATACGCTGCCCCTGCGATCGCCACCCACGCCACTTATGCTGCTCCAGCAATCGCCGCCCACACCACTTATGCTGCCCCTGCAATCGCCGCCCACGCCACTTATGCTGCCCCTGCGATTGCCGCCCATGCTGCGTATGCTGCCCCAGCAGCTGTAGCCCATGGTCCCCTCCTGGGAGTCGCCTACTCTGCCGCCCCAGCTGTGTCGCACATCAGCTACGCTTCTGGATACGCCAACTACGCTTTCTAAGTTGATGTTTGGAATTTTGTTTAGTTGAATTTATTTATACTGAATAAAGACTGTTTAGTGTATTGGAAGCCTTTCAATTCAATTCAGTTTTTCCAGGACTAATTACTTAATACAACTTTGACGTCAGTAAATTTTTTGATGGTGTCGTTAAATAAAGGTTCCCCCACACAGACGCGATACAGCGTTCAGCGCGAAAGCTGCACGTCCACACCACCGCGGTACGACAGTTTTCTTATCTGCACGATATTCTCAAACGTTTTTTGATTTCTTAGTCAATATATCTTCTAATGAAGACTGTTTGCCTTAGCAGAAGATAAAAGGCGAGAAAGAAGTATTTTGATGATAATCATTAGTTAATAATAGCTTTGAGTGCACCTTGAGTGCTAGTATCGTACCAGAACCGTTCGATTATCGTAAAGTACCCTGTTGCACGCATGCGCAGCCTGTCGTGTGCTAGGACCGTTTCTGGACTGTAAGAGGTGTTGGAACGGATTCGAAATCGTTTTGTGCCTCGAAATTGACAGGATAGCCAATGTTGCCTAATCTACCAATTTTTTCGCATAGCTATGAAGTGATAATACACATGTACTAAGTGCTAACGTTAAATGAGCTTCATGTGGATCATTGGATCATTCTACGACAGGTTGGGACACAGCTAATAATTAATAATTGTGTTTAAGGAAAAAGAAGAATTGGATATATGATATCAATAAACTAAGAAAGGTATATGAAGAATATCATAGTTTAATAATCGAATAACCTAGAGATCCACAACGTTTTCACGTATGCTTCCGATTGTTTTGATGACATTTCAAGTTTAATGAGATCCCAGACTATATCCTTTTCCCTGCAAATTTAATAGTCTTCGAGACCTAAATCGTACAGTATTGGGTACTTCTCAACTTGTTCAAGTAATTTATCCGTTGTGGACGTCGTGAAAGGTGGCGATATGCGATACGAACCGCGTCAGCAGCGTTTCTGAAATGAAACGCTGTAAAGGCGATAAACGGCGTGCCACCCCACCGCGCTGGTGTAATCGGTATTATTTACCGCTCTGAAAACTGAGCACCGCACGGACAGCGTTGCGATTATCGCTATCGCCTTACCGCGTCGGTGTGGGGGATCCTTAAGTAAGTTAGAATTTTAGTCCAAGAGACCAGAACAGGTACAGGATAAGTTAGAACAGGCATTTTTTTGAAAAAATAAAGAAATGCAAAATATACTAGATAACGTACAAAGTTATTATACAGACCTATCAAAATGTATTAGAAGTTTAAAAACTATAGCTTCCACCATTCTGGACACCGTTCGTATAAAGGCAAAATGCTTAAGGGAGCAATAAGGCTTCCATAAGTGTATTACAGTTATGTTTGTCTGCATTTTCTGAAAGTACTTATTTTGCATTCAACGTACATCAAATGTGCTAGGCAAGGTTAACAGCCTTTTACTGGTGAAACCGCTGGATCCTTGCTACCTGATAATAGGTTGAATGATGACGATGTAAAAAAAGTTATAGAAACCATTCTGTAGGGAATTCAGTTCTTCATCACTTTTCTTTCATAAAAATTGTTGTAGAGTCAACAGTTTACGAGAAATTAAAGGCTACAGGTTCATGCAACCATGATATTTGCTTACAATGGCTAAAGTAAGTTTCAGATTAATACCTTGAGGCGTGGGGTGTGGGGACAATGGATATCAAATATCTCCTTGGAAATAGTCAAACAATGCCTCTTCGTTTTCAAAGTGAATGAAAATAAGTACAGCATATGTTTGTTTTATAAAGCATTCATCATACAACAAAAATATAAATTAAAAAATAAATGGGATCTCCCAGAAGTCGAACTCAAGCCAGAAACGGGGAATAGGCCTTGTCAATTAACAGAAAAATATCAACAAATCTAAGTCGATTCAAATTATAGACTAAAGATAATCGGAAACATCGGAAAAATTCACACCCTGTGATGCTCTTTTAGTTCCCGTTAATAAAAGTGTCTTGCGATCACTGCGTAGAATGACACTGTCCGTCTAAGAAAAAATCGTAGTAATGGAAACTATCAGGTAACCAAATAAGTTCGTGCGGTGTTTAGTAGAAACATATAAATTTTTATTGAGAAACAATAAGACACTATTTATTCGTCGAAGTACTTGCCAGCCCATTCAATGACCTTTTGCCAACATGGAACCAATTTTTGTATGCCGGTATTGTAGAACTCCCTGGATTTGGAGTAAGAAAATTGGCGGACTGCATCTATTAGACCATCTCTCTAATTTTTTTATCATTTGTCAGTTCATGTTCGATCACTAACGTCATCATCTCCGAATGCGGTACATATTTTTCGGGCCGCCGCTACAGCTTTTGTACCAAGTTTGTACTCATACAGTAAACATCTTTGGATTCCTGTTTTATTCGTCGCCATTTTCAATAATTAAATCTAGGTATGTAAGAATTTTCAGCAACTGTTTTTGTGCGTGAGAAAAGAAGGATTCATACTAAAGTGACAACAGTTAACAAACAATCGCTATCTATCAACAACATCCATGGCATTGTGCGATATACAGCAACCGCATGAACTTATTTGGGTACCTGATAAAAGATCCTCACAGAGTGTAGGTTTTCCGATTTTTCCGACATTTGAAATGTAGGGTCAAGTGGTGCATAAATGAGACAGCTGAAATTTTGGTCAAAAACAAGACATTCAATTTTTCCCAATGCAAAAAAACAATAACATTGTAAAAAATACGTTACAAATTACTTCCACATATATACAATCGAAATATGTAATGAATAATAAATAAATGTAGACACAAACATCGAGAAAAAAACTATCGCATCTGATTGTGCATTTTGCTTAAAAAATCCTTTAAATTGTATTTACAAACTTTTCCTGTTGCGCCGCCGTGATCGTAGTATCGCGTTTTCAAAATAACAAATGCGGCTATAATATTCCATATCGAATTTAGTCTATTTTTATTTGTTGGCAAGCACGTCGTGAATAACAGGTGCAACAACGAGACACCACAAAGTTTAAAAACAAGACACCTGCCAGGTACAAACCAGACAGCTTTTATACCTTTGATAATAACGCCGAAGGTTTACGTTCCCAAAAAGCGCCCCTATGACAAAAAGAACATGGCCCTAAAACTAATAGATAATGGCACTTTATCTGTTAGAAATGCAGCTAAACAGTTTAAAATTGACAAATCTGCCCTTTCGAGAAGACGTACTCGTTCAGTTGGTAAACAGGGAAGAAAAACTTCTCTAACCAAAGAAATGGAAGTATTCTTATATGGTAAGATAAAAATTATGGCAAAATGGGGGTTTGCTCTCACTAAACCAGAGATACAAGCAATAGTTCAAACCTATGTACAAGAAAACCACCTTACTACCCAGTTTAAGGAAGGAAAGCCCGGGAAAGATTGGTTTAAACATTTTTGTAAGCGCAATAGACTAAGTCTCAAAGTTTTTGAGAGCGATGTAGAAGTGAAATATCCGAGGCGCAAAGGATTTAAATTTATTTTCCGGCCTTTGAGGAAAAGTACTTCATCGACAAAAGTGACATAGAAATGGAACTTCCCCAGCCAGAAATAGAAAGTAAGTCCTGTCGTATCTCTCAGCAATATTGGTTTCCGATTTAAAAAATACGTCGTTCAATAATATGTAGTACAAAATACGTTAGAATAATAAGTTTTCTACTTTAGCTCTTAAAATCCTATTGAAAATCTTGTTTTACCCATTTTTTGAATTAGGTATATTGTATTTAACTTGTTTTTGGATTTGTTTTCTTTTTAGTTTAATAAACATAGTTTTGTATTTAATTATGTTTTCTTTAAGAACGTTGTCACAATTTAAAACCTATGTTATTTGACTTACTCAACGCTTTAAAACCCTTGCAATGTGTCTCGTTTTGATTCCCCAGGGTCTCATATTTTGCCACACTGATGTAAAAAGACTAAAAGGCCAGAAAATACAGTGTCTTGTTTTTAACCTCTCACTGTCTCATTTTTAGCCTAAATAGTGGTTAAAAACGAGACACGGTTTTTTAACAAAAACGCCCTTCATTATGAATATTATGAACTTGTTTTAACGTGAGGTATACTGCATGGCTTTCTATATACAGGGAAATATAACAAAGCCTTAAAGTCTGTTTTTTTGTTGACAAAAAATTAAAAGATTTAAAAATTGCCTTGTTTTTTGCACCACCTGACCATACACGATCTTTTTCTATTTCTCTCATAAATACTACTACCTGTTTTCGGCTGGACGTCGACTTCTGGAACATCCTGTATATGGGATAATTCGGCTAGAGAATGAAGGTCTAGAAACGAAAGACATCCACTTGCCACATAGTATAACTAAGGAAAAGCTACAATTGCAAATAGTTTTTCGTGTATCGAAATCGTATCACGCAGTGTCACCCGTGAATGGAAACGTAGCAGAAAGCTGGCAGATAACTTAATTAACGGCAGATACTATCTGGTCCATTGCAGCTTTTCGGCGGTCTTTTTGGTGTGAGAGCGAAAAAAGGCATTAAGCTGGGCGAAGCCGTCGGAAAATTGAAATGGATTTTTTGGCTGGTCGACGACCGGTCGGCGAATATGGAAACAGTAAATAAGAGATTAAAATTCCATTATTTCCTGCCGGGAAATAAGGCAATTTGGCTTGCCGGCCAGCCGGCGCTGAGCTACGGGAAAAATTGAACAAGAAAGGGAATTTGTGAGAATATTCGGCGCTGTTTTGTACACATGACATGCTAACACGGGCTTATGCAAGATCAAAGTGCTCTTGAAGCGATAGGATATAACGCAGGCTATCCAGGAATATTCGCATTCATATAAAACACAAAATAGTGATGTGACTGGATCCATTGGAAACGCCTCTCGAGGCGGTGTCTCCCTATTTTATGATACAGACTTTTAGGTTTTGACCAAGCGTTGTTTCTTTATTAATGCTTTGTTGACTCATTTGGTGCGCTGTAGCCCTAAAAGGCTGTACTCAATTT